GTATAAGTTGGGTTTGAAGTGATGTGATAGAGAGGTGATGTGACTTAAATAAGATAATGTGACTTAAATAGAATAGTGACTTTTTGACTTTTTTTTATTATGGCTTATTTTGGCAACATAGTTTTTAGCCACTTTTCTTGGTTAATAGCAAAAGCCAAAAGTTGGCTTTTTTGGCTTTTTTTTCATTTGGGAAGTTGGTTTTTAGCCAACGGTGAAATTACAATTTTACCCCTCATGGGTCAAAATGTGTTACAAAGGTGAAGTTGTAAATATTTTAAATAAATAGGGATAGTTTGGTCATTTCATTATGATTTGACATCATAAACAAACATTAATCAAAAAAGTCAAAAGTCACTTTTTACCAACTTCTCAAATTATTTGTCTAAAAAAGTCAAAAACTTGGTTAAAAGTCAAAAAATCACTTTTTACCATCTCTCCAAAACAACCCTACGTCAAACCAAGCCTTAATTTAAGTCCATTATTCTTATATTGTGACTCATTAATGATAATAATTAGGGTTCTACTATGGTGTGCAACCTACTTACGATTGCACACCATATGCAACTCAATTATATTAATCTACTCCGTATATAATATAACAATTTTTAATAATTTTTTGGGTGCACTTAATTGAATTAGCCTGGCAATTTTTCTTACAGCCTACTCTGACATTTTCTATTCAAATTTAATTTTTAAATTTCATATTTGAGCCAATGATTCTCAATTATAGTAAGAATTCAAAAGTTGACCTAGTGGGGGCTGCTATTTGCAATTTGGAACAATGACACCTATATTGAATTGGTCAGCCATGTGGAACAATGACACCTACATTGAGGGCTGCTATTAGTTGCAAGGGTAAGCCCTCAAATTTGTCAATAAATTTTTTTATCAGAAAAAATAAAATAAAATATATTAAGAAAATCAATCAAAGTACAAGAAAAAGTACCTTATTTTTTTTAATTACATTAATAAAGGCATATAGCAAACACCGTATCATCGCTAAATCAATACCTTTGTTGAATTGTTTATGGTTAATGTTGAGTTTAACATTTTATTATTGTAATTATCATAATATTTAGAATTTATTTTTTTATTGATTGACTTGACCAACAAAATTGGAGTTACAATAATAGAGAAGAAGCAAATAAACAAACTATAATGGAAATATATATTTTTTAAAAAATCGTTCATGTGCTCAAAATGCATATTAATAAGAATCAAATAATTAAATTGTCTTAATTGATATATTTATTGGTATATTTATTAGTGATAAAAAGATGGGACTTAAAACAAGTTTCAGCTCAATTGATGTTTGGCATGCAGCTAAAAAAATCACAATTTTGGAATTATTTTGTCTTTAATTTTTTTTTAAAATTTAAAATTTTAAAAATTTGTAACTTTTTTTGGTTTGTCTAATTGAGTAAAACACAAAAGTATAATTTTTTTAATAAAAAAATACTTTTTTTAAAAAAAAAAAAACTACACAAAAGTCAACCCCGAACACCAGTCAATTCTACAAAAAGCGACTTGTTAGGCCCTCAACACAATGCCCTAGCCTCCAAGCAATAGAAGTCTTGAATTTGCCCCCACATAGTCAAAAAAATACAGCAATAACAATTAATTGACACAAAGATACTTGGCCAATAAAACCTGTTTGATTTATTCAGGTTCAAATTTGGTTTTCATTTGACCAAAACCGATTAAAATAATTTCTATTTTTTTTTCGGTTGCTTTCGGACAAGTGGGAAGCCAGTTCCTTTTTAGATATTGACTCTCTACGGTTCACAATTGGATTGGATAGTCCATTCCGGCCTGTTTGATCCATTTTAAATTTTGTTTTGATAATCTAAACTATTCATATTTTAAGGTTTATCGAATATGTTATGCTTGCAAAAAAATCAAATCAATTAAATAACGAAAACCATGTGTTCATATCAATTTTGTATGAACCGTTAATTTTTTTACCGTTTATTTTTTTTATACAAAATTAATCCAAACATGTGATTGTTGTTATCTGATTGACCTATTTTTTACAGGAATAGTGTACTCGATGAGCCTAAAATGTGAATGATTCGAATTATCGAAACGAGATCTAAAAGTAAGCCCAACGAACCGGATAACAACTCTCCAATTTGATATCAACTGAAGAGAAGCTTTTTTTTTTTCTTTTCTTCTCCACTAAGTCATTATTTTTCTTGACTTTTTGAAGTTTCTGTCTTCTAGATGACCATGAATTTATTATCTTCATCCATTATCTCATACAAAAACAAATGTTTCTCTTTCACTTTGTTGTGTGGAATGGAAAATTACAGTATCCAGATTATCAAAATAAGACTCAAAAATAAATTTAATGATCCAAACAACGCCTCTCCAATTCGATTTCAGGCTGGAAAGAAGCTAATTTTTTTCTTCTTCTTCTCCAGCAAGTCATTATTTTTCTAGACTTTTTTGAAGTTCCTATCTTCTAGATGACTCTGAATATATTATCTTCATCCATTATTTCATACAAAAACAAGTGTTTCTCTTTCACTTTGTTGTGTGGAAATTACAAATACACCTCCTCAGATTTGTTTAAAATATAAATTACCTCTTATGATTTAAAAAATTACAAATACTCCCTTATTATCATTTTTTATTTAACAAAATTAACTAAAAAATTAAAATTCATAATTGCTCTCCTATACAATTATAAAATTACTTAAATTATTAATTGAAACATATTTTTAACATCATTAAAAATTGTTAATTGACTTGATGATTTATTAATAAAATGGACGATTTGTTATGAAATTAGAAATCTCAAGTGATAAAATGTAATTTTCAAAACCACAGGAGGCGATTCGTATTTTAATCGAACCTTAAGGGGTATATTTATAATTTACCCTATTAACAAAATTACAATGAAACTTTAGCATCTAAATTGATACCCACTAAACCTTAAGAGGTTGGCATAACTTGAGGTTTGGGGGTGTGCTATCTTCAAGTTTCAGGTTTTATTCACTAGCTACAATAAGTTTTTTGGGACCAGTTCAATTCCTGACAGATTAGTTAAGGTGCACGTAAATTGATTCGGACACCCAGTTATTAAAAAAAAAAATTGATACCCACTGAATTAAACTTGCCATTTTATCTAAAATTAGTCTTATATGCACCGTTTGGAAAGTGATTCTGTGGGATTTTTTGGCTATTTTAGGCACAAAAGACAAAATAGGCTATTTTTGTCACAACAAACAAAACATCACATCCAACCCATAATCATTACACTCTTCTCTCACAAAAAAAGTCAAAAAAGTCAAAAAGTCAAAAAGTCCTTCTCAAACCAAGTTTTTTAACCCAGGCTAAAATAGCTAAAAAAGCCAAAAAAACTAAAAAGTTAACCCATTTCCCAAACCAGTATTACATTATTGAATCAATATTAATTTTTTTAAAGAATGATTTATACATAAATAACTATAAATAAATAAAGCAAATCATCATAATAGTGTCTGTGGTAACTAGTGTATTTGTTTGGACGGACTGGATGAGGAGGGATTGAAATCTATCAAACTGTTAGTCCTGGGATATGTTGTCCCCAGACTAATTGATTGAACTAGATTTGTATCCCATCTTTGTTTAGTCATGGGATTAGATGTCAGGAAATGACTATTTGGTTTGATAGAATATGAACCTTATGTTTGTTTGAGATATTATAGAAAATGATAAATATTTAAATGACTATTTTATCATTTTCAATTATATAGTAAGTAATAGGGCAAATTACAAACACCCCCCTCGAGGTTTGGTAAAAATACAGATTCTCCCCTGAGGTTTGAGAAATTACAAATTGCCCCCTAAGGGTCAAATTTTCATAACAAATTAGAAAAAATTATGGGGGAATCTGTATGAAAATAAAAACCTCAAGGGACAATTTGTTATGAAAATACTAACCTCAGGGGGCGGGATGTAATTTCTCAAACCTTAGGGGGAATCTGTATTTTCACCAAATCTCGAGGGGGTGTTTGTAATTTTCCCTAAGTATAATAACAATATTAAACATGTCTTTAATGTTTTAATTATTTTTAACTAGATTAAATAAAAATTTATTTTATTTCATTTTTTACACAATTAAATAAAATTATTTTTTAAAATAAAATAAATAAAATATCAATAAAAATATATGTTATTTTTTAATTAAAATTTTAAATAAATTTATTTTAAATAATAATAATAATTAAATATAAACATAATTTTAAAATAAAAATCAATAAAATATTTATAAAAAATTATTTTAAAAAATTAAATACATAAAACATCAATAAAAATTAAATAAAATTATTTTATTTTTAAATTGAGATATTTAAATTTTATTGAATTTTACTAAATATAATACATAATTAAATAGTAGAGGTTCAAAATAGTCATTTTACCACCTAATCCCATATCTCCCTTATCTCTCTATTTATGTTCCACCCCTTCATGGGACACAATAGTCTAATAAATTTGAGACTAAGGCCTAGTTTGGGAAGACTAAATAAGTGCACTTTTTGACTTTTTATGAAATATGGGAAATAAAATTATTTTATTTTTAAATTGAGATATTTAAATTTTATTGAATTTTACTAAATATAATACATAATTAAATAGTAGAGGTTCAAAATAGTCATTTTACCACCTAATCCCATCTCTCCCTTATCTCTCTATTTATGTTCCACCCCTTCATGGGACACAATAGTCTAATAAATTTGAGACTAATAATCCGAAGGAATTAATAGTCCGGTCTAAGTCTCCTTTGGAGAGGTACAAGTTGGACTCTTTCTTCTTGTTTTTGCTAAGCAAATGATGGTTCACATGTTTGGAACGGTTTCAATTCAAAAGCCAATTTGTTGTGGAATAGTCATAAATAGTTGTCTTATATTTATTTTATTTCTAGCATTTGTTTGGATGTTAAGGCATTTGGTAGACTTGAAGAAGTCTTCTTTTCTTTTTCTTTTTTTTTTTTGAACAAGAAAATGCCAACTAGCTTACAAAGAGTCCAAAGATAAGATAGCCCTAAGCGCCGGAGGAGGATGGGCAACCCAGTTGAGGGGAAGCATGCCTGTCAAGTTGCGAGAAGCTATCCAGTGAGCCGTACGATTGGAGCTTCTAGGCGACCAGTAGAAAGAAATGTTGTTCTGAGACTTCGCAAAGCGAATATCATATATAATAGCCATCCAATCCCATGGAGGAACTAGTTCAGAGACATTCAATTTGATGATTGTTTTGCTATCTCCTTCCACACTAATTTGGTTGAGGTTGAGGGTTTGAGAAAAGGCGCAAGCCAATCGAACCACTCGGGCTTCTCCTTGCAAAGTTGACGATACATGAACAATAGAAGTGCGACCATCGACCAGTTGACCTTCCCAATTCCGAAGAATGGCAGCCAGGGAAGCTTTTGACCTGTCTTTAGTGAAGCTGGCATCACAATTAAGCTTAAAGTGGCCCAGACTTGGTGGACTCCATCTGCGGCGAGGGGGCTCGGACACTGCTGCATTCGGCTGTCGAGCACCAAGGTGATTAAGCACATATAACTCTCTCCAGGCAGTTGTGGCTTGATGCAAAGTAACTATGGGATTTAGGGGATTGTGGTTAAAGACCCAGTCGTTTCGAGAGTTCCAAATGCACCAACCCACCATCGCCACTTTCCCAATGATTTCTAGATGTTCTGATTTGTTAGAGCACATATTCATAACAGAGTAAGTCCACTCAGCAATAGAATTGCAAACTTGCATATCAACTCGAATGCCAAGGTCGCTACCGAACCAGACAGTCATAGTCCAAGGGCAGTGGAACAGAAGGTGTTCAATGGATTCAACTGGACAGGCACACGCTGGGCATTGACTCGATGAAGCACATTTCTTGTGAAACAGGTTTTCCTTTGTAGCTAACCTATTCTAACACACACGCCACCAAAAGTGATGAACTTTCGAAGGGATGTTAAGAGACCAAATCAAACTCCACATGCTCGCCCGGGGGGAAAAAGAGGGGGAGGCCGCTAGCTTGGAGACAAACTGGAGAGAATCTTGAATTACAATATGATAACCACTGCGAACCTCATAGTTACCTTTTGGAGTATAATGCCAGATGACCACATCAACTTGGTCTTCACATGAGATGGGTATGGACCGGATATGAGCAAGAACCTCTGCACTAACTACATTTCCCAATTTATTGATATTCCATTCAGTGCTATTAGGGACAATAACATCAGAGACTTGTGAGATACTGCAATCCGGCGGTCGAGAGTTCAGAATTTGAAACCCGGGTAAACTTGGTATCCACTTGTCCTCCCAAAACTTGATAGATTTACCGTTTCCCACTTGCTAGCGAACACTGTACTCAAGCAACTACCTACCTTGAAGCAGGCTAGCCCAGGCCCAAGAGGCCTTCCTCCCTTTCTGTGCTTGCATAAAATCCGTGTGAGGGAAGTAGATCCCTTTCAGAATTCTCGCGCAGTAGGAATGAGGAAATTTCAAGATCCGCCAAGCTTGCCGGGCCAGAAGAGCTAAATTAAATGCCTTGAAGTCTCGGAACCCCAAACCGCCTTGTGACTTAGCAACTGAAAGACTTTTCCAATTAACCCAATGAATACGACGACCATCCAGATCTCCTCCCCACCAAAAATTACTCATAAAACCATTAAGTTGATCGCAAAATTTTTTGGGAAAGGCAAAACAAGCCATAGCGTAGGTTGGGATTGCTTGTACCACCGATTTAAGGAGTATTTCCCGACCCGCTTGAGATAATAAATGCTGCTTCCAACCTTGCATTTTTTGAACAGCCCTTTCAATCAAATACCCGAAAACTTTCGTCTTCGATCGGCCTCAAAAGGAAGGGAGACCAAGATATTTGGAATTGTGCAACATGTGGGCAAAGCCCATAAACGAGCAGATCTCTTGTTAAAGTGGCACTGGGGTGTTGGTTGAAAAACGAATGCTGGACTTCTCCCAATTGATCAGTTGGCCCGAGGCAAGGCAATACTCCTCCAGACAAGTTTTCAAAAGTTGACATTGGGCCATGGAAGCAGTAAAAAAAGGAGGACATCATCTGTAAAAATTAAATAGGACAAGATGGGGCAATCTCGACTCAACTTTATGCCCTAAAACCGATTATCAAAAGTGCTCATGGAAATCATTCTTGAGAGAACATCAGCAACCAAAGTAAACAGGTAAGGTGAAATTGGGTCGCCCTGACGGAGACCTCTATGAGGAATGAAGGCGGCTCGCTTCTCCCAATTAGCAAAAATTGAGAAGGACACCGTACTTACCACTGCCATGATCCACTGAACCCAAACTGAACTGAACCCCATTTGGAGAAGAAGAGCCTCTAAGAAATCCCATTGTATGCGGTCATATGCCTTATTAAAATCTAACTTAATTGCCATCTCATAACCAGTGCCAGCCTTCTTCAATTTCAGATGGTGAAAAGCTTCATGAGCTACCAAAATGTTATCTTGGATCAAACGCCCTGGCACAAACGCTGACTGTTGTGGGGAGATCACACTTTTCAGGATTGGTTTCAATCTATTGGCCAAAATTTTGGAGATGATTTTGAGGGTGAAATTACACAAGCTTATGGGCCGGAATTGAGTTAGTTTTTCTGGGTTAGGCACTTTGGGGATGAGGACCAAGTTGGTCTAATTCAGTTCTCCCAAGAGATGCCCAGTAGTAAAAAAACTTTGAATCGCCGAGCAGACATCATTACCCACCACCTCCCAATAAGTGTGGAAAAAGATACCAGAGAAACCGTCGGGTCCTGGTGCTTTCAAAGGTCCCAATTGAAATGCTGCGGATCGAATTTTGTCGTTGGACACCGGGTTGGTTAAAGAGGCATTCATCTCTTCAGAAATAACCCGTTGGACAGTTGACAAAAGGTGATCAAAGTTTCGGGAAGGAATGCTGGTAAACAGATGAGAGAAGTAATCATGGAGATATGAGTTAATCGCCTCATCAGTGGATAACCACTAACCATCCTCATTTTGCAATTTAACCAATTGGTTCCGTTGTCGACGCTGGATTAAAGTGGCATGAAAAAATACAGAATTCCGGTCTCCCGACTTTAACCAATTCACTCGAGATCGCTGATGAAGGAACATCTCCTCACGGAGGAGCACTCTCAAAATGTCATCTTGAGTCTCCTTTTGGGCAGCTACGTTGAACTCGGACCAGTCAAGAGCTTGGAGATGAGACAACTTGGAATTAAGCTCTGCTAACTTGGTTCGATTGTCTCCGAATTCACTCCGACCCCAAGATTTCAGCACCAGTTTGCTGCCTTTCAATTTTTGACACAATTTAAACATGGGAAAGCCCCTATTAACCTCCTCTCACTTAGCTCTAACAACTTCAAGACAGTCTGGAGAAGTTGTCCACATTGATTCAAACTTGAACAGACGAGGCACTCTTTTCGGGGGGAGACAAGTGTTAAGGATAAGTGGACAATGATCTGAACCAATAAGAAGCTCATGAAGAAGTTTCGCATGGGGGAAAAGTTTTCGCCAATCCACAGTTGCCACTGCTCGGTCAATTCTTTCCTGGACATTATGCCTCCCCGACTGGTTGTTTGTCCACGTAAAACCATGACCCTTGAACTCCAAATCCATTAGAGCACACTCCTGGAGCAATTGTTGAAAGCCCAAAACTCTCCTAGCTATAGGTCCTGCACCCCCAGTCTTTTCCCAAAAGGCCCCTATCTCATTAAAATCACCCAAGCAAAGCCATGAAAATTGGTTTTCAGAGGCTATGGTTAGGATAGAATCCCAAAACAGGTTGCGAAGTTGCTCCCTGGGCGGTGCATGAATGAAGGTGGCAAGCCAAGATATACCATGATGAGATAAGACACAGCGGAACAAGTTCTGATTACGAGAACAAACATCAATGACTATTTCATCCGTCCACCACAAAGCCAACCCCCCTACAATACCAACTGGGTCAACATAAGAACTGTTTGTGAAACGCAAACGTCGGCGAAGGCACTCCAAAACAGAGCGTTGATTCTTTGTCTCCATTAAGAAAACCACACTGGGACGATGGGTTTTGCACAACCCTCGGAGGATCTGGATTGTCAGGGGTCGTCCCAGCCCCTGACAATTCCAGCTGATTATAAACATGGGGGTTGTGGCTATATAGGACCAGCCACCAGTCCGTCTTGTTTGGATGCAGCATTTGTTACAACGGGGGCGTGCATGGATTATTCGAGCCCAAATCAGCATCAACAGAACCAGAAGGATAGGCATGCATTCCATGCATGGAAAGAGAAGGCCAAGTTTGCTGCACACTGCCAACATGTTGAATTTCCACTTCCACCAAGTCAAGGCAGGGCAACTGTTGGTTACTCCTCAAGTGTGGAGTTCTTTGGCGTGTCTTTCTGGGGCATGTAATGGTTTTGGTCTTGGGTTTACATTGGGTTGGAGAGGACAAGGTTAATGGCAGTTGGTATGGGATGGGGTTATGTTTTAGAAACTTTGGGGTGGGTATGAGGGGAGGGAGGAAGTCAATGGCTTTTCTTTTAAGAGAGAGATTGTTAAACACGTTGGGCAACACTGTATCAGTAATATTTGAGTCCAAGGCTAGAGATTTTGGGCTAGAGAGTGGGATAGAATTATCAGGAGGGGAAGAACATTTGGACTGCAGTGATGAGGGGCTATGGAGTGAGTTTGGGCTATCAGCAGGTTCAGTGACATAGTAGGCAGGCCCAGTGAGAGGGGGAAGTTTTAGAATTGGGAGAGAAGGGGATTGGCTTTTTAAGTTAGAAGGGTTGGGGCCAAGTGGGGCTTGGAGTGGATTACCTGATGGGGAAGGTTTGGTAGGCCCAACAAGATGTGGATTGGTAGAGGGCTTGACTCCCTGATGGGCTAAAAGAGGTGTGGTATTCGAGCCCAAATCCTTCCGAAAAGGTGTGACCTCGTGCTGAGGTGTATCTCTGGACAAAACTTCTGATATGGGAATTTCAGGAGAAATTGTTACAGAACCACGTGGCAACCTCGAATGGTGGACGGGTGGGTCTGGCTCTGTTCCAACAGAGCAAGAGGGTGGCCCTAGCACCACTCCCTCTGATGTACCCAATTGTCCTTGGGACGAATGTACACGCGCATCATACTCACGCGCCACTAGTACCTCCGGTTCCATCGTCACCGCTGAAGTTTTCCGGCCAAGAAGGGGTCGGATACTGGCCTCCAATTCATCAATTTGCTTTTGGATAAAATCCACCGGTAGATTGAGCTTCGAAGCTATTCCAGTTCTCAAATGAGGGCCATACCCAGAATGACGTCCTGCCTCTCTCCCAGTAAATTTACAAGATTTATTATCATGCCCAATTCGACCACAGTCATAACAGTAATCCAAAAGTTTCTCATATTTGAAGTCGACCCATTTCTCCATGATATTGAGAGTGTGTGGGTCCTTCCTCTTCATCATGAAACCTCTTGGAATGGGTTTAGAAATATCCAGTTCCACTCTAATGCGCAAAAAACTCCTATGTAGCAGTAAACCATCATGAGGAGCTTCAACACCGATCAACTGACCCAAACTCTTGGCTATGATTTGACCATTGCGACGGGTTAGACGATCCATTGGGAGTCCATGGACTTGAACCCAGAAAGGGCAAAAAGAAAAGTCCATCTCAAAAATAAAGCAACCCATCTTTAGAGGCTGTAAGACAAGGAGATTTCCCATAATGGGCCACGAAGCTTCCCTAAGAACCTTGAGTCTATCCTCTGGATTGCCGAACTGAAATAAGAACACATTGTCAGGCCACGGCGAGACTGCAATTTCCTCCCTGGTCTTCCATGCACTCTGAATGATCTTAGAGACAGCTGAACGATTCAAAATCTTAGAGGCTGAAACCTTCCCTACCAAGCATAAATGAGAGTTGTCGGTGCTTTCACCCGAACCCTCCTCCAAGTCGATGGTCACAGAGTCGCCTATCATCTGCCAGACTAAAAAAAGGAGCAAAACCCAGTAACCAGAGGCTGGTGCAGAAGCAAGAGAAATACAAGCAGAAACGAGGAGGGAAAGGAAGACAAGGCTGTGAAAATGCCTCAGAAAGGAGAGAAGCTAAGGTCCACCCGAATAGAGAGCCCAGAATGGAGGCGTTATTTGGCGATTTTAAGGGAGACATTTTTTCACCACAAGCCAGACTTCCTCAATGTTGATGAAGAATGGTCTCTTGTAGATCAAGGGTGTTTTGAAAAGATAATTAAAATTTAATTTTTTTAAATTTTTTTAGATTTTTTTTACTATTTTATGTGAGAAGTGATGTGACAAAAATGGATTAAAAACTGGCTTTTAACTTTTAACTCATGTTCCCAAAATGGGCCCAAGTCTACTCAAAATTCAAGGCCTCCAAATAGGATTTTGTTGAAAAATAATCGGTTGGTTTAGTTTTTGAAATTAGATTTAAGTTTTGAGCTTTGAAATAAAAGTTTTTGAAATGAGATTTGAAATGAGAAAATTTATTTAGTTATGAGTTTTAAAAAAAAATTAGAGTTGTATTTTGAAATTGTTTTTTTTTTTTAAATATTTAAAAATTTTCTTATTTTTATTTTTTTAGGATAAATATTGTTTATTGCAAATATTTATTTATTTTTTTAATATATTCCATATTTATTACATTTGTGTGCTGTATTTTTTTAATATTTAAAAAATTATTATTATTTATTTTAAATATATAATTTTTAGTTTAAATATTTATTTTATTTTGTAAATATTTTAAGGATAAATTACAAATACACCCCCTGAGATTTGATTAAAATATAAATCATCTCCTGTGATTCTGGAAATTACATTACACCTCCTGATATTTCTAATTTCATAACAAATTACCCATTTGATCAGCAAATCTCAATTCAATTAACAGTTTTAATGATATTATAAATATGTTTCAATTAAAATTAGGTAATTTTATTAGGGCAAATTACATATACATTTTAAATAACAAAATAAAAAAAATACATTTTTTTTATTATTATTTTTTTTAAAGTTAAGTTCTGAAAAAAGTTTAGTTATGAGTTTTTGAATTGAGTTTTGAAAACTTTATTTGGTTATAAGTTGTAGAATTTTTTTATCCAAATCATGATTTGAAAATCAAGCCAAATGCTATCCATTGTTTAGCTACTTTAATACAAAATTATAATGAGACCCAACCGTCGGTTGAGATAAGTTTAACTGGGTATAGATACTCTTACATTGTGTTTGGTTGGAAATTTTAAAAAGAGAAATGAAAAAATATAAGTAAAATGTGAATAAAAAATATATATTTCACTTAATTTTATAAATCTTTTCATTTTTTTTTTAAATTTTTTTTAACCAAATATAACGTTAAAGTAAAATACACCACAAAAGAATGTGTCAAAATCAATAAGAAATGAATGAAAAATTATTTCATAAAGTGGCCATGATGAAAGTGGTTTTGCATACTGTTGGTGAAAATACTAGAAAAAATTATATTTTATTGATAAATGATGCAAAGAAAATGAGAAACAAATAGATTAGGCTGAGGCACGGATATCTCATTTTCTTTAAGGAGATCAAGTCCACCGCAGTAGGAAGAATCCAAATACCAATGCAGCAGTTACAAAATTATGACTGTCCCCTCCAAGATACAACAGCCCGACCACTTGTCGTATGGTTCAGGCCAATTCTGCATAAGATGGTGAACCCAAAGTTCCACCAATAAAAACACCCTTCTTTCGTAGTAATCTCTATTCTATTGAAAATAGTTGATGTATATAGATAGAAAAGAGTAGACTCTATATATACCATGAGGACCTTACAGTTACATCAAAAATAATAACCATTAAATAGGAGAAAATGGAGAGACTTCATATAATAAAGAGAAAATGGTTACACCAAAATAATGATCATTAACCAAGTTCATGAATTCTATTTAACCTCCATTTATGACCAAGAGGTTACCAAAGTAATGAAACCCCATTTATGTCCATTTATGACCAAGATATATAAATAAATAAATAAAAGATATTAAAATGGTCCAACAATCCCCCACTCATTTTAACATCAACAAGGATAAGAGAGATTACCAAACAAAGGTAGACTAGTATGCATCATGAAGGTGTGCTCTGCATTGAACCTTCATTAGTGAAACAGCAACCTCTACTCCAGAGTCAGTAGTGGTCTCAGACTTGAACTATGACTGTTTAGGGAAAATAAAGAATTACTGCTCACAAATAATAATCCAGGTGTTGACATAAGCTTTAATAGCTAGCACATTACGGCCTTGTGCTAATCCCAGTTTTCATGAGCATATTTGAGAATAAGCCTTGTTCTCATAGAAAGCGGCCCCACTTTCATGCTCACATAGGTGAAATTTGTCAAGGATGTTCCTGCAATTTACACACCCCACTCAACAAGAGCTACAGAATTTTAATAAGAGTATAAAAACTCAACCCTTCAACATTATAGGACAAATGCACTTACATCATAGGGATGGATAACAAAATATTAAAGAGTGCATTTTTACAACCACCATATGATTCGTTTTTCCCATTGAACCTAGTTATAGGATCTCTGGCTCCTAGGTTGGGTATCTTCATACATGGTTTATGATTTTATGGGCTTTAACCCCATCTCCCTCGATGTATTTCAGACCCTATCTCTCGCCAAGGCCTTGGTTAATGGATCCGCAAGATTATCAGAAGATCTTACATAATTCATAGTTATGATGCCATTACTCAAATAGGATCTCACATTACTGTGTTTCCTTCGAATAGGTCTGGATTTACTATTATAAAAATGATTGTTCACTCTACCAATAACAGCAGTGCTATCACAACGTATTAATACAGGAAGAATTGGTTTTTCCCAAAAGGAATTGCGTGTAACAAATCTCTCAACCAATTCGCTTCCTCACATGCTGAAGCTAATGCTATAAGCACAGCTTCCATTGTAGAATTAGCCATTATCGTCTGTTTTTTAGACATCCAACATATAGCACCACCACCCAAGGTAAAAATAAAACCCAAGGTAGAGAGAGAATCACCTGACAAAG